TGAAACCATTGTTTGGTGTCCCAAAAGATCGCCATCTTTTTTTTAATTTATCATGGTCAGATCGTTTTGTAATGATTTTCGCAAAAACTAATCATGCTTATGGTTCGTGCAGAGCACTAAGAGACCGATTCACCGACCACCCACGGGCACCGTTCATATCTGAAATATTGGATGGAAATCGTCAAATCGCTCCGTTCCTATATAAGTTTCAAGCGGGTGAAGTCACGTGCGACTTTTGGTCCGCGTTGAGACCTGACGCTATCCCTCGCATCGGAACAGTGGAGTGGGCGACTATGTATTTTCACTTCAAATAAGGCAACAAATAAAAATAAAAAAATATAAAAACGCCGACTGCGCCATATAGGTGCATAACGCCGTTTTGGGACGACCTAATCATGCCTTAGTCGAGACTCTAGAAAGATATGACAAGAACTCAGAGTCGATGCGGATAAAGACTCTTGTTCGTTACGGATGCTTCGGCGTGCCAGGGGAGGGGGAGGGTGGGCTGGGTTTGCAGCGCCAGCTTGTTCTTCACCAGTTTGTTGAAGGAGGCAAGTAACAACGATTAGGTGGAAATTGGGCAGGCGCGCTCCAAAACGAGCTTCTCCTCTCCCCGGCACGCCCCAACATCCTCAGTGAAAAAGAGCCGACCTGGTGGCGAATTGTCCAGGACACCTACAAGGTGGTTATCGGGAGACAAAAACGTCCTGGTAAAATTTTCGTTTCACAATAGTACCATGCTTGAAGGTCAGACTGGGCTACAGTCAGCCAAAAACCTATTGTAGCTACTCAGTCAGGGGAGCGGGCAAGCTGAATCGGTAATTCTACGCGCCTTGTCGGCGCGCGGCGAATGGGCGGCCGGCGTATTCTAGCATCTATTATCTTTTCCGGACTTGGAGCAGCGGACTTTATGTAGACCCCGTCATCCTAGGCATTCGTGATTATTTCCGGTTCTGAAGTGTTGTCGCCATCTACTACCTGGGACCATCGTCATTTGCGGGCGCGGCGTCGCACACGACCCGCTCACCGCGCGGCTCGAATTACGATTCTCTTGTCATACACTCACCCTAACCAAGCTGTATTTGAAGGTGTAAATGTCACTTGGAGGGTCTCTAATGCATGAATTTTCAGCTCCTGTATCGATCTCACCGCTTATCGTACCGACAACACTTCCAACGTCCTCAGTAACATCATCAAAACTCGACGACAACAGTCATTGTACTTAACCAGATTTAACATGCAACAGTAACGTCTCCCTTTGACGCCTGTTTCTTTGTTAGAAGCCCCCTCCAGCACAAAACACGCTTTCAGCCAGTACGCCACTTACCACATCCTTACATGCCGCCCCCCACCCCCCGCCTCTACGAATAACACGCAGGCTTGTGGATGATAGCTCCATCCGAAACGAGCCCGGGACTTGTATTGCCCATTTATCAGTGACACGAGGATATCAAAAGCGGGCGTGTTGGGTCTCGAACAAAAGCCGCAGATAGCCTCAGTCTGACGACTCCCGTCAAACAGGCTCAAAGCCGAACCACCACGTGCCGGCGGAGTGCAAGTGTCTTCCATCCGCCTTCACACCGAATCCATCGTACCAGACATCGCCTGTCACAGGTAAATACGTTTATGTTAACAGCTATGAAAGCTCGTACTGGTAGTCCCATACCGTACTGTGGAACCCACCCAGAATGTGCTTTTGGAATCTGTCTAAAGTGCAATCACATACGGACAAGAGTCACAATTTTTATAGGCTGGTTGAGCTTGGAGGGGCATTTTGTGCTGTCGCTAAATCCTTTTGTTAGTTCAGTTAACTAATAGGTCCTCAAATTTGTCAAACCTGTAAACTCTTAACCTAGCTAGCGTCACAAGATTTTACAGGTTTGACCAAATTGAGACTATTAGTTAGCTGCGAAATTTTTCGAAAACCCTTTTGGTCACAGGCAGGGTAGTTCCTGTCACCAGGGTAAATGTTTGTACAATATGGTCTCCCCCCTCCCTCCGGTACGTTCCCCCCATCCCTCTTGTTTTCGAGTGCTGCACACCTTCCGTAAAGCTTTCCTGGACGTACAGACTTGTTTTTTTAAGGTTCTTCCAGTTGGTTTTATCCTCCGACGTTGTCGCTTTCGATTGAGGTGGGGCGAAGGTCTTCACCAAAGAGGGAACGGGAAAAATTTCCTCCATGTCAAATACGATCCCTCCCTCTAGCGTGGGACGAAAACCGAAATACGCCCTTCCCGCGAGGGTTCACCAGCGCACGACGTGCCCTGGTCCCAGGGTTTTGCAGGTCTCCCAGTGTGGCCTGTAAGAATCATCTGGTCATCGAGTGACATGTGGTTGTATCTTTCCCACGTTAAACCAGTTAGGTTCTGGTGCGGATTTCGCGCGCGTGATTTCGTGTTGTGACGCCCCCTCGCCGCAGTGTGGATCTCCCAACCGACACTTTTGCACCTTCTTAGACTCCCTTCATCTTTATCCCGTTTTCGGTTATCTTCCTACGGTAGAGGGCTGCTGCCTTCTACATTTCCAATCCCATCATCTGCGGCTACCATCATTAATGAAGTACGTAGCCACACCCACGCTATCGCCGCGATATGGGGTACCTGCGGACAGTAATGGGGTGACATGTGAGATTTCCGGCGCAGTTTGCCGACGGGGGGGGGCATTTTGCACTTTCGTTGCTTCACTAGTTCTGGTTTACAAGTCTCACTCTGGTGAAACCTGTGAACTCTTGTGAAGCTGGAGCAAGCTCGTCAAGCCATCATGGTAAAACCTGTCAACTCGAGAAGAGGCTGTCTAGATGGGTCGACACGTCGATGGGAAGTCGTTAAAGTGCAAAATGCCCCCTCTTCCTGTCGCCAAGCAGCGCCGAGATTTCTTTCTATAATAGTAATGCGACTATTCGTCACTGTATTCCCCTGGAAATCGTTTCCTACCTCAAAGACAAACTGCTTTCATACTTCATCTCTGGAATTTCTTGCTAGTGACATCATATCCCGAACTCATCGGTCAAAAGGGGAGATAGAAGTTCTCCGGATGAACTGATTAGTAATAAAGATTCGTGCCAAGCGACAAGAGTGTGGTGCGACCTTGACTGGAACCAGGTCAACATCGGACCTCTCATCAAAGCAAGCGATCGTCGTACCGTCAATTGAACCGCGTGACGCTAAAAACATCACTTGTTGTTGATCGGTGGTGGTAGCACCGATCATCATAGCCTAATGTGGGATGACAACCATGCTTTAGAATAAATGGAATGTGACTATGTGTTGTATAGCCCCAACCCCCTCTCCCTTCCCATCTGATGGCCCCGCCAAAGTTCTATGCAACTACCAATTTTGACAGTTGAATTTGGTAGTTGGTTGCTGGCGATCTCTCTCTCCTCCCATCTAAGTCGCAGAAATTCAAGAAATGCTAGGTAAAATAGAGAAGAAGGGTCGTATCAGAGAACATGGGGGCGGGGGGATTTTACAAAGAAGTCAACCATTACCTCACGGCAGGAAGTGCCCTGATTCCTTAGCCGGATTACTGAGCTTGTTCGGACGTTCAAAGATCGATCGTTTAATACAGAAGTGGACCCAAATGGAGATGGGCGAAGCTTCGCCCAAATTAGCCAAGAACGGAGCTAACTGGGCGAAAGATCGGGGAAGCTTGCGCGCAGATTAGCCAATTAATCGGAATCAGGTGTACCTTGTGCGACTGGGACTGGCCTTATGGCACTCTCAGCATCTATTTGGATGAGGGTGGGGGGAGTAGGCAAAATAAGAGACTCTTAGCCTCAGAAAGGGCAACCAATAAAGGTTTGCTGCTGCAGCCAGCGGGAAAGATCCTTGGTGAATGTTTATTCTTTGAAGGCAGGAACAGCACTCCACATGAGACCCCTTGTCACAAGGTCGAGCCATCCTTAATCGCGACGAGCTCAAGGCCTACAGGGCGCTATTCGGTTTAGAGGAGGCACTTTTGGTAGTTCCTCTTGTTAGTTCACGTTAAAATAACTCACGTTCTACTCTTACTTTAGTGATAGCCGCCGATTTTCGGGATAACGCGGCTGGCTGTGGTTTTTTACTTTTCGTAACTCTACCCTGAAAGTTAAGTTGCACGTCGAGAACCGGGGATCCCAGCTTGTCGGTTTGAAGGATTCTAGGGTTACATGGATTGAGGCCAGTTCCCGACACGTCTAGAATATCCTTTCACAACGTGAACTGTGTGCGAAAATGTTTTACGGGTACATTAGCGAAATGCCTTTTTTATTGCCTTTTGTACTTAGCCTTTACGACTCCTCATGAAATCTAGGCTACAATTTTAGCAAAATTTGTTTCGGAGGGTAGATTGCCCTAATAAACGCGAACATCACATATGTTTAGCGCAGAGGTGGCAAAGGGTCCGCCACAGGCAACGACGCCACAACTGTTTGGCACTGGCGCTTGCAGAGGTATTTTCATGCTAAACGGATGTCATATTCCTGTACAAGGAAGGCCTGAGGATCACACAGCCGTTCATAATATTGTGTCGGACTTCTCGATCAAATATCTAGTCAAATTTGCTCCTATTGTAAATTCAGATGGAAATGTAGCAGAGAACTTTGAAGAATGGCATTAGTCAGATGTTAGGTCTTCTTATTAAGCTGCGTTTATACTTCGCAACTGGAGAGATGGTCGCGCGATAAGCATCGCAGGTCTCGTACGGGCCTGGTCTATCACTAATTGTTCGACCGCGTAACTCCAAACCCGATCAAATTTGGGATGAAACCTCCTTTGTCGGTTCCAGCGGTCTAGAATTAAGCGATGGAGCGCGGTCTGTCGCGCGACTGAATCGCTCGTGTCGCGGAGTATGAACTCGGACTCATTGGCAGCTATTTTTTTCTGATCAGGCTAGCTAGATGTCCCATATGTTCTTCATAACCCCCATCCTCAGTGACCAGCCGACCCATTCTTGTGAGTTTGGTATGGGCACAGTCTATGGAAACGTTAAGGGAGGGCATTCACTTATTATAAGGATGGTTTATGGAGTTTACTGTTTCAGAAGCACCAGCTGAAGCGGTTTGTTCGCCGAGCACGTCAGTGGATGCGCCAGCTAGCACTAAAGAAGACGAAGAACCTGAGCTATTTATCGACATCGAATCCGTCGATAATCGTCCAGAAGGTCGCGATCGTCGTCGTGCCTACATCGACTTTTATCGCAAAGTGAAAAGTGCACGGCAAAGGTAAGCATCTAATCGTCGTGACACATAGCGACCTCCTATTGCTTGATAACTTGTGACATGCAGGTAGTAGGGGGTTGCCGGTGCAGAAATTCATTACAGGGATTTTTTAATAAAAATCAGATGAGGGATTAATCTGGGGATACACCGGGATCCAGGTTGTCGCTAGCGCCTGGAGCTTTCCAAAATGGCGATTTCCCTTCTCCAGCCAGTCGCACCACTCGATTCGTGGCCTAAGGGACTGGATCTTTCGCTCATTAACTTCAGGTTATCACGAATTTTTGTACACTGAGCGAGGGGAAAAGGCTTGAAGGGGCAATTCGCATGTTTCCAGCGAATTGTCATGTCCTCTGCATACGCAGACGGGCAAAAGGAAACTGTTTTAACTATGGGAATAACAGAAGCTTTGTTTACACTTAACATGAGGAACCAGGGAAATGCTCCTCTCTGGTGTCATCAAGGTGTGGCATGTAATTTACCACGGAACTATCAAAAAAATTAGCTAAAGTGTGAAATGCACCTTCCAAGTCAACTGCGCCTACATAAGCGCTAGTGGGACCCAGTGGGATAGAGCTTTAGAAGAAGATAATGAGATCATTGAGGTCGGTTCCCTTTTCTTACCAGGCCGAGTTTAGAACAGTCAGGCTGTATATTGTGCTGGAATGGTTGGGAGGGGGTGGGGATAATCGGTGGGGCAAAAGCGCAAACTAAGATTTTGGGCTTGTCGGTTTTGGGCTTCTGATCAATCAGAAAAGATCGTCGACGCGACCACCAATTCAGTGGGAGGTTCGCTGGTCTGGGTTACTTCTGTTCCATGAACAACTGAGGCACCACATACAGTCTTCAGTCTTGTTGCGGCTGCGGACGGCTGCAGCATTCACGGAAGGGGGGTAGGGGCTGGGTTTAGCGGGCAGCGCCAGCCTGTTACACACCAGTTGTAGGCAAACTACCAGCTACACAATCTGGGAAGCGCCAAGACCTGTTCATGAAACGCCCTCGCGTCTGCAGACGACCACGGGACTTCTTAAGTCAACTTGCTGTCCACCCTACTCCTTTCGATGAAGGCATATTCCGCATTGATTGTTCGGTGTAGTCATGGGCGTGTGTCGGGCCTTTTCATAGATCGAGCCTTCGCTCCTATGATTACTGAGTTGAGGAAGGTCAGACTCCGCCCATGCTTGAAGCGCGGACTGACCCTCAGAGCCGAGGCACTAGGCCATCTTCCTGAAGAAAGATGTCCGAAGGATATTTCAGATGTCTCTGTTTGCAGGGAACCCGGTCCACTTCTGAACTGCGCGTTGTGCGATTGCCAAGTGTTGAGTAACGACAACGCCATCCACACTCATGTGAATCATCACGCCGAAGCTGGAGGATTTTGGTGCAAACTCTGTGGGTTAAGTGAAAGCGACAAGTAGCATGAAAAAAAAATTTTATAATGAGCACAATGCGAGTGAACCATCCATTACAATCGTCAGTTCCCTTTCATTACTTTTTTACTTCTAATGTTATAAATTTTGCCACTATGACGTTTGCTGTTCGAGGATCGGCGAGATATCTTAAAACTTTGCGCCGTCATCCAAGAATGTTTCCCACGAGCGTGTCCACGAGTGAAGAAGGAAGGTGTACGAGAGTTCGACCTCATTATCAAGTAAGTTTTTGCCTATTTTGTTTAGGTACATTTGCTAGCTGTTAGTCTACTTCTGTACTTTGGGAACGCTCGGCTTGACTGGCGCTGCTAGCGAAGGTACCGCGCAATTTGGCCGCACACCCGTTTGCTCAGTAGTAGTTGCCCATCATTCAGTACTTGTCGATAGTCGTACTGCTGGCAGCTGCAGCAGTAAGTCAGCCATCTGGCCTGCCAGCTGTTCATGTAGCCCCTTTTTATGATTTGAGTGCATAATTTCGTGAGCAGTGATGATCAGGGCACGTCGTACGTCATTGATCCCCTGCAAGAGGGTCGTATTTGGTCTCTGGAGGGAGATGGGGGTACGTGCCTTCGAGATTTCTCAGTTTTCTTGAAATAAGAAAGGGGAGGGCGTCGTTTGAGGGGGTTTCGTTCCGTCGAAATTTCCCTTAGAGCACGGCTGCCTTGTCTGAATAGCTATCGTGCCCAGGAAGGCCCAAGTATATTCGTCACCGCGAACCGCCTGCTTTCAGGGCTTTGTCAGAGACAACTCAGTTATGGTTCACGAGTTAGTTTTCGCATTTTGACCTCAGAAGTCAGACTGAATGTCTTCCAGCCCGGGCACCCGTATTTCTCAACCTCAAAGCCTCTCTCCCTTTCCTTTCTTCCCTAACCCTTCTTTTCCCATTTTCAAAGTTCGGCCGAGCGATTACGGGAGGATCACGACAAGAAGAAATCTCTGAGCCTCCCAGCGAGAGAAAATCTGATTGACAGATGCCTTATAGCCAGGCACATTTCCCCAGCATTTCCCAGCGACGGGGTGGTCGGGCCGTCATATATAGTATGCGGAAGGGGTCGTTACTTGGTCGTTGCAAAGAAGGAGAGTCGTAGCCAGCCTGAAAAAGAAGTTACTTTTTCAGTCTTTCCTTTTTCATGTAGCTATATACCCACAGCCCTCCCCCACTCAACAACCGTTTTCAGTAGAAAAGGTGCGAATTTTCGGAAAACCGAGAAAAAGTGGTAGAAAGCTTGCCAGTATGAGGAAGGGGGCAGGGGGTTGTACCATGCACGAAATCCGATACGGCCAAATTTTGCAGCGACAGCGACGTGCAGTGCTCATAACCGGGTGACTCGACTGGAAGCAGAAACTGCGTGTAGGGCGCATGGATGCCTTATAAATTTCTTTCTTCAGTCTGACTGAAAATCTTTGCGTGCCAGTTATTGTGAGCGCGCGTCATCGCTCTCATAACAGCGGCCAATCGACAAGGGCTCATGCAAACCCCTCTTCGACCTGTACAAGGAATAAAAAAACGCTGCAGAGTTAATAACACTTTTATTAGTTCATACTTTCCAGGACCATAGATGAGAAACGCTTGATGGAAGTGAAATGTGGTCAATGCGATGCGGTTGTTAAAGCGACAAAAGCAGCAATGACAAGACATGCACATCAACATCCCATGTACAGGTACTGATTTAGCACAGTTTCTGATCAAGAACTTTTCACGAAGCGTGTTCGAATAAAAAGGGGGGGGGCTGTTTTTCATGTTTGCTGCTTGCCATCTGCTAGTTATCTGGATTAACAGAGCTGACCTTGGTGTCTGTGAAGCCGTCGCGAATGCACATGGTGGCCAATCAAGCTCAACAGAATTGACATATAGCACAGTGGCCTCTGCTCAAGGTTTGCTAGGAACCCTTTTGTGCCCCTACCAAGCCAAACTGTGCTTTTTTTCACCCTTGGATTAGAGCCTTGGTTAGCCTTGACTGGAAATAGTGAATAGATCCTACAGACGGGTAGGGGTAGGTTCCATGTGACTCCTTTTTCTATTAAGCTTATACCACCTCGCACTCACTCTGGGAGAGGACGCGGGTGGTGATTGGCTTAGCTCAGACAAGCCTTCAGTAGCTTTTATGCGACAAACTTATATTTTGGCGCGACAAAAGTCAGGCATACACTGCTGAGATGTATCTCATGCTATCCATGGTAGAAGTTGCCCTCCCAGACCAGTCGAAACGTGTGTGCAGGCAAGCTAGATGGGTTGTCGTCATCGTGATGGCTTGTCCCCCTTTCACCATTCGATACCCATACAACACCGTACGCATTGCTTATCTGCGCCCTCCTACGAGACAATGCTCTGTTGGCTCAGTTAAGCGCATGAGGCCTCCTTTGTGGCGATATCACATTCCTTATCTGAACCCTCAAAGAGCCTGTCAGTTTCAAAAAAGCTCTCAAAATGCTATCTTGTGAGAGAGCACAGACGACAAAATCACGCGGCCGTATGGCGCATAGAGGGCGGGATAGAAGGATAACCAAGCAGTCACCTTCCTTATTAGGAACTTTTGAATGACGAAAAAGGTTTACTTCTGCGGCTGTCTGTGGACATCCCACTGTAAACACGGAAAGATGTTGCCTTTTTGGCGTTGTTTGCGCGTCCAGGCGGCGCATTCCTGCCTCGATGTCATTTGGTGTTAAGGAGTTGGGCCGTGGCCTACCTTACCCTTCACCATGGCTATAGACTGGAGTCTTGATTCTCAGCAATTCGCATCGCTATTGCTTTGCATTGAGAAAATGCTTCCGATCCTGGGATTGCCAAAAATGAGAGCATTTCTTCGTCGTACGGTTGAAAACGTTGGTCAGCATCCCAAGCAAGCCAATTCGCCTTCAATAGGGCGGCATCGCCAGTATTCGACTCAGTAACTCGACGTATACTTACGATTGCCTTGGCACACACGAGCTTTGTAACTAATAACTTTTTACACTTTATTTGTACGTTTTATTTTGATGGCACTATTAGGTTCTAGAAAGTTGTTTTTGTTCACAAAGTTTGTTTCCTAAGTAGTCCGACTTCAGGTGTAAAGTGTGCAAATTCACGTCGGAATACGTTCGAAGCCCAAGAAAATAACATTCAAGGTTACGGTCGACTATAACGTTTGTTCGGCAGCAGATGTAGTGGCTAGGACTGTGCAACGTTGTTTCGCACATGTTTTGCAACCGTCAGACACCGAAAACCATGAAAAAAGCACTACCACGAAGTCGTGATGGCATCCACCCATTAGGTTTTGGTCATAAATTCTCATTTTGTCATATTCATGTCGATCTATAGGTCCTTAAATTTCTAGACGACGTGAAAAAACATAGCAAGTTTGGAAAAGTCCCCCAAGCTCTTCTTCCATTTGCAGCTCAGCGATACAAAGGCAGTGGGCGTGTTTGCTAGCAGGCGGGATTCCTACCCTAACGTCATTGGTAGAAGGGAGCTGGGGGAGTGGCCTACCGTAGCCTTCAGGTAGACTGGGAGCTCTGTCTCTCAGCCGATTCGCCCGCTGCTTTTGAGACGCTGGACAGCGCTGCAAGTTCGTCGGGTGCCATAGCAGCCTAAGGTCGCGTTCATACTTCGCGATCTAAGCGATTCATCCACGCGATACAGTCAACAGTGGTTACAAGAAAGATTTCACAGTCCGAGGAATCGCTGGTACCGTATTCCGCGCGCTTGGTTTGGTTTTCCAGGTTTTTTTCCTTACAACTACCTTATTACGGTAGCATTTACCGGACTGCGAAATCTCCAATACTACTTCACCACTGATGGTTAGGCCGCTGCACCGGCCCAAGGAAGTCCTCGAAGACAGTGGAGACGATGAGTAGGGGCAGGCGGTTGCTGCCTATACCATTGGTGGGAGGGCTGCGAGGGGGCGTTAGGCACACCCACTTAGCTCCTCCACCAATGACGTCGGCGACAAACCGCCCGCTCCCAGCAATCAAAGCAATCAAGCCCACTATCCTTGAGCATGGTTGAAACAGTGGATTTAGTGGTCCAACGATTAGCCGTGGAGCGTGCCTGATTCTCAAACCGTGTGACTGGATCGCTTCAATCGCGAATTATGATCACAGCCTGGTTTGTATCGATTCCAAGCCCCCCCCCCTCCCCATTCACAAGCGGGCGATGAGTGCTTGCCACTCCTGAGCGGGGATGTAGTGACTTGCCTGGAAATTTTGCGTAGATTTAAATGCTTTAGATTTGCTCAGTTGTGCTCCGTAATACTCGTTACTGTTGTACACATGTGTCGTATATACGGGTAACGCAATTTGGGTTACTTTAGAGAGTCAGCTTTGTTATTGTTAATTGTTCTTTAAAGTGAATTAATAGTTAATTCACTATTATATAATGAATAATGCTAGTATTTGTCTTTACCGTATTCATGGGTCGATGAGCGGATTTCTAAACGGGATCACCTCTCTGTTTTCTCAGCGCGCGTTCATCTACATTTCAACGTTTTTTCTTGTCCTTTATGATGATTTGGGACTGTGAAGCCCAACAAGTGTGTTTCTCTCATGACTTGTAAGCCAACAATTTTGCCAATTTTTGCACGATCTTGAATCTGTTAATTTTATTCACATGTTTCTTTTTTATTTGCTTGTCATTCTTAATTTTTTCTTTGTTCGATACGGCATCATGCTTTTTTTGACAGGATTTGTGAGAAAAAAATTTGCAAGAAAATAAATGTTAAAAAAGAGGTTAAAGCTCCTAATCTGCTCCGACGGAACAATAAAATAACGGTCAGGGGGGTATAAGTCCAATGGAAATGTTGTCCAATTACTGGAGTCAATATTTTCGATTTCAAAAGCGGTAGTGTCAAGATTGTGGGCCTACTTCTTGGGTAATTTGAACAGAGGAAGAGTAACCAGTTTGGACTACAAATTTTCAATGGAGATGGCCTAAGGGGGCTGGGAAGACCACCGATTGGAAAGACGGATGAGACAATCGTGATCTGCGTCGCTGTCGCGCGCGGCATCATGCGGCGGTGCATGACGAGTTCTCGATGTGCGCCAATTTGTCGATTAGAGCAGCGAAAGCGATATCAACTCAAACGGAGGCAGGACTCCATGCCGCATGATACCGTACTTTCTCGTCCCTTGAACATTCAAATTCAATCGGTCAGGCAGGACAACTCGTCCTTCGCGTGCGCGGCGTCGCTCTGCGTGGAGCGTCACGACTGCCTTCCACATATTTGCTAGGTTAGCGGTATGGAAAATGAACATGCACTCACTGCTTAGCGCTATACCTTTGAAGTCAGTTCACAAAGAACGAAAGAAAATCAAGGAAATACCGAAAAAGAGAAAAATTGCCACAAAAGGATGCGCCTTATTCGCTGTAACTACTGCTTTGCTTATTCCAAGGAAAAGCTTGAATGTAAGGTTAACGCAGCTTGAGGTGTTTCATCCACCTCGAGCGATAGGCCACGCCCACTCATCGATGGAAAATTCGTAACTTACCAACGCCTGCATCAAATAAATAAACAAACAGGTAAATAGCAAGAAGATAATAACATACTGGACAGAACGTAGCTCCTAAAAATCAAAAACAGTCACAAACGCTGGGAAAAAATTGTCCTGCATAGAAAACTTCCGGAAACTCCGCTAAAGAAATTTAGTCAAATATCTGGTTCGTATGTCCTGCATTTTGCTGCAAGCCTCGCTCATAGACCCTGGGTCGTGTTTGAATGTTTCCGCTTGTAGGACACCAAGCTTGCTGACGGCACGTTACTGCGGCGTATGATTGAACCTATGGTAATGGTACTGCGCTGACAGGATTCCTGTATTGACCCCGAACACTTCGCCCGATTACAATTTTCTAGAATACGGCCTATTTCATTGTGATTCTCCTATTCAATGAACGTTTGCTAATGTCTGGTGCTTATCACATTTCTAAGAAACACTCACCATCCGTTGGAAATAGGATAGCTTAGCGGCTGAAAGACTTTCGATGGTAATAACATCGATATCATGGTGATATATCCTCACATTTCTTACATCCTAGTACTTCCGTTGAGCAGCTTCCAGGGCTTTTAATTTTCGTCGAAACTCGAGAGCTTAGCGGTCGTAACCATATCGCTAAGGGATAGAACACTTGACTCACGAAGCCTCTAACCATTGTTCCTTGGGCACCGGTGCTGAAGTTTATCAGTTGGTGGGTGGCAGGACGTGATAACAGCTTATCAGCTTATCAGCTGTTATCACGTCCTGCCGCCCACACCAATAATGTTCCCATCCTGCCCCCTAATAACTTTTTGGAAGCCCACATCCGCGTCGTCGCTGTGTCCGCCGCTTATATGGAGCTGGTGACCTTATGCGCTTTATTGAGGGCCTCTGTAGTATCTTATCAGCTGTTATCACTTCCTGTCACCCACCAATAATGTCCCCATCCTGCCCCCTATCTAACTTTTTGAAATCGACGTCCCATCGCTGCTGTGGCCGGTGTTATGAATTAGGTAACTCACTCTTTTTGAGGCTCCTTATGGTATCTTATCAGCTGTTATCAATTCC